GCTTCAATGGTGACAGTTAGAGGGTGACCCATGCAAGGTGACTTCTCTGAGCCTCAGTTTCTACCTCTGTGGAATGGAAACACTTGCTTGCCCCCAGGTCACACCTGGCCTGTGGTTACTGCTATGCTCTTACCTTTGGCAGGTTTGCTATGACTCCTCCCCTCTCTTGGCAGTGCTCCGTCTCCTGTGGGGATGGCATCCAGCACCGGCAGAGCACTTGCCTGGGACCCCAAGCTGGGGCGCCGGTGCCAGCAAACTTCTGCGAGCACCGGCCCAAGCCAGTGACCGTGAGGGGCTGCTGGGCTGGGCCCTGTGCAGAGCAGGGGACACCCAGCCCAGTGCCCCATGAGGAAGCTACTGCCCTGGGCCAGACCACAGTGGCACCTCCTGCTGTTTCCCTGGAGGGACCTCAGCCCCACGCCCGCCTCCTCTCCCCAACTTCCCAGACTCTGGGGTTCCTGCCCAGGCCACAGGAAAGAACAGCACAGCCCAGTTACGTCCCTCCCTCCATTCTGTCAGTAGGCTGCAGGAGGGGCCTGCATTTCAACCTAGGAGAGCTGGGACAGGCATTTGGTCCCCTGTGATGCACCCTATGGGTGGAGGAGATGGGCCTGGGAGGCCAGGCTCAGAGGTGGCTCACTTCCTACCTGGCAAAGGGAAATTTCACTTTTATTGTTATGAAGGTAAAGTGACTTGAAGGCTTCGGAGTTGGAAACTCGGGTCTACATGATCCAAAGCCCATGCACTGCCTCCCACACTGCCCCCCTGCTGGGACATCTACCACCAGCTTTGTGCCTTAATGGTGACCCTTCAACTCACCCAGGCTCCCTGAGCTGAAAAGGCTTCCAGCTGGGCCTGGGAGAACGTAGCCCACTCCTACTGCCTGTCTCTTTCCCTAGCACAGAGAGCCACAGGCCTGTCCTGCTGGGAATCCCGGGAGCTCTGCTCACCAGAGCTCCTGCTCCCTTCCAGGTGCCTGTGGCGGGCAGCACCTCGAGCCCACAGGAATCATTGACATGAGAGGCTGGGGGCAGGCAGACTGTGCCGTGGCCATTGGGAGACCCCTGGGGGAAGTGGTGACGGTCCAAGTCCTCGAGAGTTCCCTCAACTGCAGCACAGGTGTGTGCAGGGCCACAAAAGGGGCCACACAAATCTCTGCTGTGAGCACGGCAGCCCTAGCTCCTGGCAGGCATCCACATGCCTTCCCATTCTTCATTTTCACGACCATCTCCTGATGGAGCATGGTGGTCCCCATTTTATAGATGAGGAAACTGAGACATTAGTGAGTGGGGGAGCCAGTGCTGGGGGAGTCAGGATTTCAGGGCCTGCCGGCCCACACTGAAGCCCCACCTCTGCTGACCTGGGGTGGGGTGCTGGCACCTCACTGTGTTGCTGCTTCCAGGGGAGATGCTGCTATTCTGGGGCCGGCTTACCTGGGAGGAGTCCTGCACAAGGCAGGCTGGAGAGACCTTCAGCCCCAACACCAACACGCTGGTGGTGAGGCAGCGCCGCAAAAGGCGGGTGGGCGGAGTGGTGCTGCGGTACTGGAGCTGGCCTGCTGCGGGAATGGTCCACAGAGGTAGCATCATTGCACCCCCACCTCCCACAGGGCAGCCCAGTCCAGGCAGGGAGGCTGACGGGGGGCTGACTGGGTGCTGTTGGGGACAGTGGGCAAGTCACAGGGGTTGCTGACTGGGATGGAAGGATCCCAGGGGGAAGCCAGCGTTGGTCCCCATGTGTGTTCAGTATGAGCTCCTAGGATGAACCCTGCATCCCTTCCTTTCTGGCGGTGTGCAGCAGATGGGGGATGTGGGCCTTGGTCCCTATCCTCACCCTATCCCTTGGGCCATTGCTCCATGCCCTTGCCCCTAGCCCTCAGACCTTTCAAGGTCTTTTAAGGCCCTTCTGCCTGCTGCTTTCCCTTGGCCTTGCCCCAGTGCGCAGTGCTTACATGCATGCTTGCACATGCACAGGTGTCTGCCACGATGCACACCACAGGCACAGGATGGCTCTCAGGGGTCCCTGCTGTGCCCACGCCCCATGGGAACCCTCCTTTGCCCTCTCGATTGCCTCAGAGGGTTGCCCTTTTCCAGTAGACTAAGCTGGCTGAAGTGGGCTTCCCCAGATAGTTCCAGAGGTTTCTTGGTTCCTACAGGCCTCAGGTGAAAGAGGTGTGACGGGCTCGTCCTCTGCAGAGATTAGGCACGAACACTCTGCTCCAGCTGCTGCCTGTATCCAGCAGGGAGCCATACACGGGCCTAAGCCCACAGGGGCTGCCAGGTCCTGCCAAGGGGCAAGAGCCTCTGTCATTGTTTATACTGCCTCTCGCCTCCCAGCCTCCTGGCCACCCCACAGCATACACCTGCCTTGAGCAAGGATAGGAGGGGCAGGCAGGCAGGGATCCAGTGAACGCCTAATGATAGGGACAGCTGACACAGCTGGTACCCATCCTTGGCGCCAGACTCGGTATCAAGCACTTTGCAGGTGTGTCTCCATTGGGTCCATCTAGGAACTGCCCTGCTTAGGTCATGCCATGGTTCCTTTCAGTGACAGAAGAGGGAACTGAAGCTTAACATTTAAGGCTTTTGCTTCAAGTCACTTGGCCAGGAGATGGGAGGGGATCAGCAGGGGTTTCTGCCTGAGAGCCCCATATTGACCACAGTGCTATTCTGTCCCTGGCCTCTGGCATCAGCAGTCTGTCTGGGCCCCTATGTCCCTGAGGTGGGCTACACACAGCCCAACCACCTGCTCTCCCTTGTAGAATGTGACAGGCAGCTGTTTGGACCCCGAGGTGAAATCATGAGTCCCTTGCTGAGTCCAGACAGGAGGAATACAGGGGGCTGCCGGATCTTCATAGATGTGGCTCCACAAGCCCGGATTGCCATCCATGCCCTGGCCATGGCCATGGACACTGGGACCAAGGGAGCCAATGCTGGCTACATCTTGGTGAGGCCACCAGGATGGGCACAGAAGTGGGCAGGTTTTTGCCATGGGACAGGGAGTGCTGTGCTAGGAGATCCTTTTAGTTTATTTCAGACCAACCCCCCCAAAATCACTATTGAAAGAATGGGAGGAAGGACTTTCCTCCACATATTTTGACCAATGTTTATTGAGCCACTCCAAGAGTGAAAGAGAAAAGAACTTTTCCTATGTAGACTGCCGGTTAACCCAAGACTGAAGCACAATTTTACCGCCTGATACAAGTTTGCCAGAAAAGTAGCTCCCTGCAACGCTTTGTGGGCTGAGAGAACTGCCCTCTGCAGGTAGCCTGGCCTCTGGAACCAGACAGCTCTGGCACCTTGCTGTGTGTGCTCTGGGAGACGGTGTAATTTCCCTGAGCTCAGTATCCTGGGTAGGATAATAGTGTCATCCAGATAGGGCTCTTGTGAGCACCCTGAATGTGTGAGACCTTGCATGTTAGACTTCTGGGAATGCTAGCTAATTATTGCTTCTGGCTGCTTCTTTCCCCTCAGATCCGGGAGACCCACAGCCTGAGGACTACAACTTTCCATGGGCAGGTGCTCTACTGGGAATCAGAGGGCAGCCAGGCTGAGATGGAATTTAGTGAGGGCTTTCTGGAGGCACAGGCCAGTCTTCGGGGCCACTACTGGACCCTCCCATCTCGGGAGCAGGAAGAGGACAAAAAGCAGGAGCCTGGCTGGGCCCTGCCCTAGCTTCCTCTGCAAGCACATTGCCCACTTGTCCTCATCCTAGAAGGGAAAGGAGGGAACCTGACATTTACTGAGCACTTCTTAGGGGTCTGGCCAGCCCTGGACGGTTGACCTCTGATCTCTGAGTGCTTTCCAACTCTAACTTCCTCCTACCTTAGGGTCTCCTCCAGTGTCCAAAGGCTAGGAGACAGGGACTCTGTAGAAGGTTCCCCTCTAGCCTCTCTGGTACCAATAAATGAAATCTGCACCTCTATTGGCGTTTTCTTCTCACAACCTGTCTAAACCTGGCTTGAAAACCCACGCCATGGTAAGGCGCAATCGGCTCTATCTTGACTTCAGCAAGGCCCTCGACAAGGAGAAGAAAAGGCGAGGAAGTGTGCATTCCGGACCTGACCGGCCCTGAGGCTGGCGCCCAGGCCACAGCTCCGTGGAAGCCCCTTCCAAGTCCTGGTGGCGTGCCAGACCGCCAGGGAGCCCCAACAGGCTCCGCCCCGAATGCTAGTGAGTTCGGCCAAGCAAGCAGGCCCCTTAGGCGAGTAAGCCCCGCCCCTAAGCGGAGGAGTCCGCTCCTGAGCCCGCCTCTATGCTAATATACCTCCAAGCGAGCCCGCCTCCTATGCTAATGACTGCCCCACGAGCCCGCCCCCTATGCTAATCTGCCTCTCCCACAAGGCCGCGCGCCGGCATCGACGCGGCCGGCTCCAGAGCCCTTTGTGAGGGCTGCGAGGGGCGCTGGGCGGCAACACTATGAGCGGCTCGGCCGGGACGGAGCCTTCCGCCAGCTCCGCGCCACCCGCGCAGGAGGATAGCGTAACGTTGTGGTATCGCTGGCTGTGTCGCCTGTCAGGGGTGCTAGGGGCCGTTTGTGAGTATCAGGAGGGGAGCCGACGGCCTGGTCGCGCATGCGCCCCCCGTGGAGGGTCGGTGTCTGCGGGGCGTCGGCGCGGAGGGAGCCTTCTGGAGCGGGTGGGGTCATAGGGGCTGGCGTCCTTGAGTTGCCATGGTTGCGGACCCTGGGTAGGCGCCTCGGTCCTAGGGGGGAGCAGACCCCCAGGGAGGGGGCGTGGACCCGGCAGAGGGGACGCTTCTGCCCGAGCCCTTTCAGAGGTTAAGGTCGGCAGCCGCGCGCACCTGCGGGGCTTCTGCTAGGTTATCCAGCGAATGCGTCGGGCGCTTGCTTGGCCTGGCGGTCGCCAGCCTCACCTGTGAACTTGGGCGTGGCGCGGGCAGCAGCCTTCTAACATCGGGGCAAGGATTGCTTGTGAGTGGGGCGGCTACAGGTCTGGTCAGGGCTGTGCCAGGAAGCCACTGGGGAGGATGTTTCCTGGAGGTCAGGCGGCACTGGGGAACAGGTGGTCCGCAGGCGCCGGGCAGTAGGCTGAGAGAGGCGGCCCCTTCGCTGGGTCTTCGCTGTCTGCTGGCCTCTGCCGCCTTGGCCGCCTTTTCTCCGTCCGCATCGCCCAAACGCAGTCCAGACACTGCCTGACTCAAGTTCCAAGGGAAGCCTGAAAGAACAGAGGAAGGCAGATCTGCCACTGAAGTGGAGTAGGAATACCGTAGCTGGCCCTCCAGGGGCAAATACAAGTCATTTGAATGATGTGCCTTCCTCTTGCTGCCTGGAGTGCAGTGCAAGGCCTTGGGAATGGACTGTCTGCCAGGTCTGCAGGGTAAGCAGCGCCCACCTGTCTCCGGTTGGGGCCTGGGCAGGGCAGATGCCACCCTCCCTGCTGCCAGAAGGAATGTCTTCTTAGGGACACTTTCAAGTCCCACAGCCTTTCCAGGTGGGTGGTGGGCAGAAGGAGGTTCAGGCAGGGTGGTGCAGGAACAGGAGCGTGCTGTACTGGTGTGCCCTTGTCCAGAGGCAGTGGTGAGTCCATACCCACCCTCCCACCCAGCTATTCAGAGCAGGCACATGTCTGACTCTGTAGGAGAGACTGGTGGTTTTTGGCCTTAGGGTGGGTAGTGCAGAGGAGTGACAGTGGTCAGTGGTGGACAGGAAAGGTGCTGATTAAGGTGGTCCTGTAGGCCACCACTCTCTCTCCTTGGTCAGTGGTCCTGCCAACTTCCAAGTTAACCCTGGAATCCTGTGTAGTCTCTGGATCTCAAAGTGGGGTACCTGTGCTGTCCTAGGTGCAGCTTCTTGAGTGGGGTACCTGTGGGGCCTATAGCTGCAGCTTCTGGAGGAACTAAACTTATGGCATCGCCCTGAATTGTCAGTTTCACCTGCAGACTGTGGGGGCATTGTGTGAATACCAAATACTGTATTACAAGGTAGAATGCAATAATGTAGGTGTTTTAGAGATGCAGCTGGCATTCAGATAAGACTTGAGTTGGGTTGCTCTGGGGCACGTGGCCTAGAGAGGAGCTGGCACGACCTTTCTCTTGGGTCCTAAGAGCATCTGGATGCAGATGATTGCATGGTGAGAGTCATGTGGAAGGTACCAGCACTGAGACCTCCTCGAGGCCTTTGTTGTTAAAGGACTCCTGGCTGGAACCTGCTAGGCTGGACTGAGACCTTGGCCTCCCCAAGGCTGGTATGGGTTGGGCAGCAGGGAGGTGTTGGCAACGCAGTAACTGCTGCAGGAAGTAAGTCAGCACAGAGGGCTGTCAGGTGAGGCCAGGCAGAGCTTCCTGCTGTCCTTTGGGCTGTGCCAAGGCAAGATGGTCTCCCAGGTGTCTGGTGCTGTCTGAAGGCAAACATTCCTAAGGATGTGCTGAGGCTAGGTACTACCTTTGAGTCCTTCCTTTTGGAAGGAGACCTTGGGGGCACACAAAGGCAGTCTATTGCAGTCTGGGTTCAGGGCATCTGGTTTCCTACTGTTGCCAGCTGCCCGCATAGGGTTACACAGGAAAATGGAAAACCGCAGAATTCCAGACCTGTATCAAAGGATCGGGTGCCGGTGTGGAGGAGCTGCTGCAACTTTAATGAGCTGGTTGCTAATTGCTTGGAGAGTCCGGCTTCCCACCCCCACAGCTCCTAGAACTGCCTCATAGGCCACGGGAGTTCTCCTGAAGCTGGCTACAGGCTGGAGGTGGAGAGGGGTGTGGTTGGGAGAGGAGGAAGGCCAAGGTACACATCTGAGTGTCAGAGAAGCCACGATCTGGGGACACATCTTCTCCCTCTGGTCCCGTTGGTATTTCAGTGGTGGGTGGGCTAGGCTGCAGGGCTTGGCCTAGAAAGATGAGAGTGTGCCCAAGGTCACTTGCTCTTACCTGTTTCCAATCTCTGTTCCAAGAGAGGCACCCCTTGTTCCAGCCATGTTTTGTGAGTCAAAGGATTTCTTGTATGGCCAGCCCTGTAAATGGTGACATGTGGCACTTACTGAGGACTAAGTCATTGCAAGAAGACATTCTCTCTTTAATCCTAACCTCCCTTTGAGTGGGTATCATGTGGCTGGGGTCAGAGGCCCCTCCATGCCCCGGAATGGAGAGAGGGCAAGATGCCCTGAGCTTCAAGAGCCATTTGCAGCCTTGCCACTGCCTTGGGGCCTGGGCCTGTCACCTCACCTCTCTGAGTCCTGTCCTTACCTGTGGGCAGTTATGTTGCCTCTATCGTAGATGACGGGGCCTCTGGGTGCTGTGAGGAGAACCAAGTGCTGAGGGCCCAAAAGGGTGCTCTGATTTCTCAGGCTACCTCCCTGGCAGCCTTCCCCACGGGTTCTTGCCCTCTCCAACTCATGCCCAATCTGTCTGTTGCTTTCAAGCCTGCGGGATCTCTGGCCTCTTCAGCTGCATCACTGTCCAACCTCTGAACATCGCAGCTGGCCTGTGGATGATGTAAGTAGCACATGGCTGTCCTGCCTTGTAGGGATCTGGGGCTTATGGGTTTCTGGCTGAGGTATGGGTCTCTTTCTTCACAGTACCTCCCTTGCCTAGGTTTCCTCATCAGGGGTCAGGGCCAGGGGAATGCTCCCCAGGCCTTTATTAAGTGAAGACTGAGGCCACAGACATTGAGTGTCTACTGAGTCCCATGTGTGGACACCAGTCTGCCGCAACAGGGCCTTTGCCCCCTGGGAGCTCCCAGGGCAGTGGTGTGGGAGACCAGCCATTGGGACTGGCTGAGGACTGACTTGGAAGGTCAGAGCCATCCCAAGGGGGCTGGGAGACTCTTTCAGGTCAGGGTTGGCAGGGAACCAGTGGTCAGCATAGCTCATGTCTGTTCTGTGGGTACCTCCTGCGGGGATAGCTCCATCCCATCAGGAGGGAAGGTGTGTAAGGACAGGACAGCACAGCACAGCTGTGGCTGAAAGGGACCCCCTGAGGTGTGCAAGAATTTGCTAGTATCCTTGGGGGTTATTGTTCTTAGGGGGCGCAGAGGTTGACAAGATGCACTTCACACTCTCAGGGACCTCAGGCCAGTAGAGGGACTCGGGGGCTTGTTGTGGTGGGGGTCCTTGAACCTGTGCTGGTCAGAGGCACCACTTGGACTTCTTGGTTACGGGGAGTCTGACACTGCCTGGCCAGACGGAGGCCAGGTGCTCCTGCTCAGATCTCAGTGGGCTCTTAGGTGCCCTGAGCTTTGTCCTACAGAATAGGGGTAAAGACAGACCCTTCCTCCCAGGCCTGGACAGATGGAAGGGCCTGGTGTGTTTATGGGCTCAGTGTCAGTAACTGTTAAACCCCACCCCATAGAGAACACAAACAGTAGAGCAGACACCTTCAATCACAGTAGTGTAACAGTCCCAGCCCTGCACAGGAGCTGTGCGGAGTGGGTGTGAGTTCCTTCCTCCCTAGCACAGGCTTCCCAAGGGCTGCTTGTGTCTGCACTATCTCTTGGCAGCCCTCAGTGGACTGGCTAGCTCTGGCTGTCCTGGCAGGGGCAGCCTTCAATTGCTAATGGCGATGTTGGTGGCAGTAATATTAATAACCTGCAGAGCTGAGACTACTGAACTCAAACTCAGTGCAGGCTTAGAGCACCACCAGGCGGGAAGTCATCTTTCCTCCATCTTAGAGAAGGGGAGGCCAAAGGAAGCAGAAACCCAGGCTTTGCCCTTTGGCAGTATTCAGCTGAGTTGAGGAGACAGGTGTGCAGAGTCTGGGGACAGGTGAAGTGTTCAGCCCCTGCTTTTGGAGGAGGAAGGGCCCAGGAGGGAGGAGGCTGCTCTGCTCCCCTAGATCCTCAGTTGCTCTCTCTTGTCATGCCTCTGCAGCATGAATGCCTTCGTCCTGTTGTTGTGTGAGGCGCCCTTCTGCTGCCAGTTCGTGGAGTTTGCAAACACGGTTGCGGAGAAGGCGGACCAGCTGCAATCCTGGCAGAAGGCTGTCTTCTACTGCGGGTGAGGGACTGCTGGGCAGGCCTGGGGCACACTTCCACCAAACCATGCCTGTGGTGAGGGTGTCAGGGAGGGTGGGCAGGGAGCAGGTGTGTTCCTTTCCTTTCTGTAGAGGTTTAAACTTTGGTGGCCTTTTGCAGTCATTTGGTGACAACTGCTAAGAATGTGAGTTGTAGTTCTGCACCTGGGAGGTGGCTGTGCTGGGATCAGAAGAGCTCAGTGGTACATGGACATGAATTGCAGTGTTACATGCAGTAGAGAAAAATGGGAAACATTTAAAAGTTTGGTCTATCAACTGGGCATCATTAAACATCAAGGCAGGGCTGTATGATGTGTTTCTGTGCAGCCTTTTCAGAGAGTGTGGTCCAGCTGGTTACCTGTCATGAAAGGGATAACCAAGTTGCAGAGTCGAGAACATTATTGTCTTTTAAACATACTTTCAAAAAATTGTCCTAGCAATAAAATCAACATGTAGCACTTCATCCCTGAGTCACAAGATTGAACTAATTTCAGGGTAAGTTTAACGTACAGGCTGGGTGCAGTGGGAGCTCTGGGAGGCCAGGCTGGGAGGATCTCAAGTTCAGGAGTTTGAGACCAGCCTGAGCAAGACTGGGACACTATCTCCACAAAAAGAAAAATTAAATGGGTGCTGTGGTCTGCGTCTATAGCCCCAGCTACTTGGAAGGCTGAGGCAGGAGGATTGCTTGAGCCCAGGAGTTTGAGGTTGCTGTGAGTTGTGATGATGCCAGTGTACTCTAGCTGGGATGACAGAGTGAGTCTGTCTCAAAAAAAAAAAAGTTTAAAACACAGCAGTTCCTAGAATAATGCTTAGTGGCATAGGAGGCTGGCGGCAGCAGCAATAATGTTATTGTTTTTTATAACATCTTTAGAAATAAATACAAACTAAAATTTTCTTTGCCTTTGTAGAGAATTAATAGTTTTGACATAAGAGCATAAGACGTGTGCTCAGTTCTGGTGGTGTTTTGCAGAGTCATGAAGGAAAACACGGTCACAGAGCCCCAATCTACATGCACCAGCTTGTCTTTTGGGTTTTTAAAACACCATTTTAACAATGCTTCAGTAATACATGTTCATTAAAAATTATTTGGAAAACAGAAAATGTTACTGCCCCACTGCCTGTAGATCTCTCCTGTCTTTAGGAGTTTTTAAAGCCTGTTTTTCACAGTTATGAATAAGTTTGTATCTTGCTGTTTTCACTTAGTATAATGAAGCCTTACTTTTGCTGACAGAAACCTTTATTCCATGGATATGTCATGTATTTCTCAATTTGCTCACCACAGTGTCAGTTAATCTGTGGTGAACATCCCTCAGTTAAAACTTTTTCTGTTTGTGATTTCCTTAGAATTTATTTCCAGGTATGAAATTACTTGGTCAAAAAGTATATTATGATCATTAAAAATATTCTAAGATCTGTGACTAAAATGCTTTCCAAAGAGGTCATTGTGCTTCTCCCTGGTCCCTACCCAGTGCTGTGTACCATTTTCCCTTATGTATTTATTCCCTTGTTATCTAAAAGGTAAGATATTTTCCCGTATGTTCTAATGGCATTTTTTTTTTAATTTGAAAAGCTTTTGCTTTTTAACCTACTGGAATCTTAGAGTTCTACTTAGCAAGAAATGTGTGTTTTCTATATTAAAGATTTTATAATCCTTTGTTATATTTACTGCAGATATTTTTCCAGATTGTTGTTTGCCCTCATTTTTTTTTTAAAGCGATAGGGTCTCACTCTGCCCCCTAGGCTGGAGTGCAGGGGTGCAGTCATAGCTCACTGCAAGCAGCCTTGAACTCCTGGGCTCCAATGATTCTCCTGCCTCAGTCTCCCTAGTAGCTGGGAATATAAGTGCATGTCACCACACCTAGCTAGTTTTTGTTATTTTTTGTAGAGATGGGATCTTGGCATGTTATCTAGGCTGGTCTTGAACTCTTGGGCAAGTGATCCTGCTGCCTTGGCCATTCAAAATGCTGAATTGATTTAATTGTGTCTTGTCAGAAGGTCCCCCCCCCCAAAGAATATTATGGGAGTACAGATGTTTTGATTCTATGAATTGCTTTTGTGCAATTTGAGTCATGGTTACAAGTGTGCCTATTGCCCAGACTGCATGCATTATACCCCTCCCTCAGCATTTGGTTGGTGGTTGGCTTCCGTTGAGTTTTTTAGGTGTGACTTTACCTGTGCCCCCCCAACCCCCCCCCGCACTTGCTTAGTTTCCACTGAGTTTTATCGTGTATGTGCTTGGGTGTGGATTGATTACTTCCAATTTAATAGTGTCAGAGTGTTTTATCTCCTATGGTCTTTTCTTTCTAATTTCTATTATTATTTTTGAAAAAAAATTTTTTTAGACTGTTTACTTTGTTCCCTTCAGTAGAGTGCCATGGAGTCATAGCTCACAGCAACCTCAAACTCTTGGGCTCAAGGACTACAGGTACCTGCCACAATGCTTGGCTATACTTTTTCTTTTTTTAAAGATGGATCTTGCCCTTGCTCAGGCTGGTGTTGAACTCCAGAGCTCAGGCAATGCACCTGCCTTGGCTTCCCAGAGTGCTAGGATTAAAGGCCTGAGCCACTGCACCCAGCCTAAAAAAA